TTTTGTTTTACATTTATGACAATGAATAACTTATTTTGTAACAAATAATGTGCAATGAATAATATTATTTTGTAGTAAATGTGCAATAATTAGCAATAAATAACATTTTGCAATTACAAAATTTATTTGTTATTATTTTTTCATTCGTTGCAATTTTTTGAAGCATTTTTAAATATAAATATAAAATTTAGGAAATAATTCGTTTGAAAAACTGTGGGAATGGCAAGAAAATGGCGGACCAATCAAAAGTGGCAGCTGTATGGCGCCACTCTGATTAGAGGCTCTCTAGTCTCGTCGATGATATTACTCGCCCTATCAACTCAGTCTCTCTGTTTTTAATCAAGAAGCAAATCTAGGTATATAAAATCTGTGGTCGGAAAACTCGGAAGTAACCTTCTCTCATCGGCCACCGGCGCTGTCGGCGCCCGGCGGGGTCGGCGGGGACGGTGGTCGTATGATCGCTGCGCGTCGCGCGCAATGGGGAACCGTGTGACCCGACGGTTTGGATTTTTCGCGCTAAATCGCCCGTTCCAACATCCGCGCGCAAGGCCGTCGCGAAACTTGCAATGTTTCGCCTGTCGAGATAGACGGTCCCAACATGTTCGTGACGAATCTAGAAAAGGATTTCTACGATGTGATACAAAGAAGCGTGAGTCGATATATCGTTTCGCCTTGCGGCGATGTGTTTTGTCTGTATATAGGTTACACCACGACCTTCTTGCACTGTCTCGCTAGTCGCTTGTCGAACTTTCTCGATAGCATCTCAGTTTTTCTGTATTCGTCGGGCTTTTTCATCCTTTCTTTCTATGTAAATCATGCAGTAACATAATTTTATTTTTTAGGTAATTAGACTTAGATCGCGTGGAAGTCTCTAGACCACCATTGGTTTCTTTGTTTTTCTATTATTTTCATAATAAATTTGCTATTAATAATGTTTAATATTAATAAAGTCTGTTTATTAATGTTAAATTTAAACCCGAACAGCGTGTTTCTTACGCTTTACAACAATTAATTCTTTATTAAATTTACACTTTAATTTATAATTGTACATATAATATTAATTTTTTCTCTGAATGAATAAGAAATTATATATGTCTGATTCTTTTGTTTTATATTAATAATAAATATAATAAATAAATATAACGCAAACTGTGTATTATACACTTTACGACAAATAATTTTTTATTAAATCTATATTTGCATATTTTATATATTTGTATATTATTTTTTGATAGAGATTTGTATTATGTATATCTCATTCCTTTGTTTTTTATTAATAATGAATGTGCTTATAATTAACAAAATCTGTTCTTTAATCATATAAGTACAAACAGCGTATATATATTCCTTATATGCTTTATAACAAATAATTCTTTAAATTAATATTCCTATTCATCATCATATAATTCTATCTTTCCTTTGACTAAATAAAAGACCATGTGTATATCATTCTTTTATTTTATATATAATAATAAACATAATGCAAACAGTATATCTATTTATTATATACTTTACTTCAAAAATAATTCTTTATTAAATTTATACTTATGGATTTATATATAATTCTTCCCTTTGAACAGTTAGAGAATCATATGCATGAATGATTTCTTTTTTTATTAATAATAAATATGACGCAAATGGCATATCTGTTTATCATATGCTTTACAACAATAATTCTGTGTTAAATTTATATTTATGTTCACATTTTTAACTCAGTTTTGTCGAAGTGGAAATCTATACACAAGTGGGATACGACAAATCCCATTATTTATTATTGCAAGGAAATTTTACATAATGTATTTTTTTAATATTTTACTTAATAATTATATCGATTAAACACCACTATAACAGAAATACAAAAAAAATAATTAGAATTCTTGAGTTTATTTAAAAATATTTACACACATGTTTATTGTTGACAAAGAGAAACTTTAAAAAAATTTTTTTAAATAAAATACTTGTACTTTAAAAAATAAATAGATATGAAATAAAAAAGAAGAAAAAAAATTAGGAACATATTGATGTCAGTCTGTAAAAATTACCGTCTGAATTTAGACTCCAGAACAATTTGATCTGCTTTTACAAAGACAATTTTTTAAGACAATTATTGAATCAAAGACTGTGATAGTCTGGTAGATGAAAGAATGTGATAGAGAAGAGAATTTTAGGAGGTTAATAAACCGATCTAGAGAGAACCTAAATTTTAATTATATGCAAAAAAAATGACATTTTTTATAGTCTCAGATTTGTCATATCCTACCTAAGTAATGTCAGGTTAAGATTTCAAAATATATTATTTAACTAAGTAATTTTGTATTGCATAAAAATATTTAATTCTTCTTTTAGAGATGTTTACTTCTGGTGAACTTTGATATTGATGCAATCTGTGCCTGTAGAATATTGCAACAACTTTTCAAAAATGATCATATGATATATACTCTTGTACCTGTTCGAGGTATTCAGGATATGATAAGTGCCTTTGATGAAAATTGTGAAGAGGTATTAACACAAGGGTTTTTAAAATACATATATTTATTATTCTGTGTTTCATTGACTAATAAATGAATAATAATTTAAGAAAAATTTCTCCTTTCAGATAAAGAATGTTGTTATGATTAACTGTGGTGGTACTTTAGATTTAGTAGAATTACTTCGACCAGACGAATCTGTGGTACTTTTTATCCTCGACAGTCATAGGCCTTATGATTTATGTAACATATATTCAGAAAGTCAAATTCGCATTCTTGGTAAACCTGATGAAGACAATGAGATCCCAGAATATAATGATATATTCCGCGATGATAGTGTATGTAATAAACTATCTCGTCTTCTTCTCTTTATATCTTCTATAATTCTGATCAATTATATGTAGTCAGATGAAGAACACGCGAGTGAAGAATCAGACAATGAAAACGAAGGCAGACAAAGCAAAAGGCGAAGATTGAATGAAGAGGATATATTGAGACGAAGTGAACGAAGAAAATGGGTTGAAAATAGGGCAACAATTCTTTTCAATTACTTACAATATAGTTACTACGGCAAATCAGTATGTATTAGTATTATAATTTATTTTTTCGGATAATAAGGAAATTTTATTTTTGAAAACTTACTAATTGCTAATACATGTTATGTTTGATTACAGAGCGCAATAGTGGTGTTTGAGATGGCTTGGAATATGTCAAAGGATAATTTAGATATGGCATGGTGGGCCATAGTTGGTTCCACAGAACAGTCTATTCTCAGCAAGGTGGAGTCACGAATAGCTGTTCTTGAGGAAGGTTCTCTTCAGGCACATGTATCAAGATTAACACATAGACAAGGTGTTGATATCGACAAGCAACAGCAACAACAGAGTATTGTTAAAGTTACTTATGATAAAGAGTATCCTTTCACATTACAATACAATTCGTTCTTGACTCAATACTTGAATTTGGCATGTGCTATGTTAATTTCTTAATGATAACAAACAGTCTCCAATTAGCATTATATCGTCATTGGACTGTTGAAGCCAGCTTGAAATATTCGATGTCAACCGCAGTGTCGTTACGTTTATGGTCCATTAGAGGGGAACAACGTTTGAAAGAAGTTTTAGCTGAAATGGGTTTACCTTTGGTGCAATCCAGACAATTGTTTCGTGCAATGGATCTTACTTTTAGACAAGAATTTAAGCAGATGGTTGAAAAATTAGCTGGCAAATATAATGTCAATAGCATCATTGGCACTAGTTTTACTCTCCAATATGGTTATCGTTTTAAATATTGTGCGTCAGATATGGTATATGCTATGTTGGCTTTACTGGACTCTACGGTAAGTCAATAGTCATTGAATATAGTTACGTTAATACTTTTTCTAACTTATACCTACATGATTGTATTTTTACAGACAAAGGACAGACAACCACAACGTTGTTTCTTAGATGCGTTGGATTGTCTATCGCGTACAAAAAAGGATGTTTTAGAAAGTGGCATTGAGAAAGCAAAGCTTATGCTTCACAATATCTTTAAAACTGCACAGAGTGTATTAGAAGCTAAACAAGTAAAAAATTTTGGTTCCTTTTTATATGTCAATGTACCGGATGGGAATATAGATAATTATTTATTTACACATCCTCATCCTCTGATTATGCTGGCCCAATTTACTCTCAAAGCGTATGTAAATTCTTCAAGAAATAGACGCGCTTCTGAGTGGCCTCTTGTAGTTTCCGCGATATTTAATGCAGAGGAAGGATCGTGCCTACTTGTTGGTATACCGCCAGTTTGCGAAGATCAACCCAGAAGGTAATATTTGTCAGTGTAAACAAAATGTGATTTTTTATTTAACTATGAACTTTTTTGTTACAGTTTATTTGGGAAAGCATTCGAGCAAGCTGGAAAGAATAAAAATTGTTACATTGAGACAGATTATTTTGACAGTACAAGTGAGTATGAAGTAGAATTTTATGAGCTATATAAGTCAGTGAAATTCATTATATTTAACATTTTTCCTTTTTATATAGTAATAAGACTGAAAATCGAGGAAAGACCCAAGTTTCTTGATGCTTTGGCAGCACTCCTTGCGTGATAATCAATTACAGTAATTAGACAATATGACTACTTTAATCCAAGTTTTAACTAGCACGACTATTGAAACAACTCGAAGCACTTTATTGCTCATGACGTATGACGCCTTTTTTTTAAACGTAAATTTATTGTACATTTTTTAACTAGCGACGGTAGTAGCTTTATGATTGTAAAATATTTAATATATAAATTAGGACTGATAAGTGAATCAATAACATCGTGTGAGAGTGTAATTGTGTTGTATAAAAAAATTGCTAGGATACAACAGTATAAGTGGTAAGAGAAAAATTTCAATGTTTACATTAGTAATTTAAGAGACATGATAAATTAAATGCTTTTATAAAAAAGAACTCGAAAGAAACTGGAAAAAATGCAGATGCAAATAAAGTCGATTGCTATATCAATTGATATGACGCTCATTATTGCCTACATGCTAAATTTATACAACACAAATGTATAGTTGCAAATATTGTGTCATTTAAATATCGGCAATATAAATGTAGCTCTTGTGAGTAAGCTACATAACAATGAATAGGCTATCAGGCTATCTCATAAACACAAAACCTTCAGTGCGCTTATTCGATATTTATTTAGTAATTTATAATATAGTAATGTATTCGTGTGCGTCTACGTACACTTAAAAATACAATTTGATCGACTTAGTTTTTTGACTGGTATAATACATTTTTTTGTTATATTCGCGAAGAATTATGTAAGAACAAATGCAATTTACACGCGAATTTCTCTTTACGTAAAGAACGACGATATCACAGAGACAGAAGTAAAAAAGAAAGAGTAGGACATCTTCGTTTGAACAACTCTTATAAAATTTGACAAGTACAATTTTGTATTTAATTAACGTTTCTATGTGACTTTATGCCGGCATATGTTCGCTTGTTTTTGATGTTTTATGTACTGCCGCTATTTTATTTATCGGCAGTTTGTTATTGAGAAATCCATCGATGAACTGTTGTACAGAGTCCACGGTAATCTCGGCACCGTACTCCATTACGACATATATACCTCGCGGAATATCGATAGCAGTCAAAAGAGGTACTGCGTCATCTAAACCAATGAATTCACGAAGAATGTCTGATGTTTCACACTGCGTCAAAAAAAAAAATTATTAAATATAATTAGAAAAACATTTCATATTTAAGAAATATTTGCAGTTTTACACAATATATATTTACATCTTACGATTGTAAAACTTTACACTTTTATTTTTATAAATATTCGAAAATCAAATTATATTATAATACCTACTTCATTCTTATCACGTTTATGTATATATACACACTTACATCTAAAGCTATATAGAATTGCAAAGAATCATCATCAGAATCGTCATAATTTGGATCATAATCAGGTTGATCGTTTCTATACACTTGTGCGGCTGGTAGTAGTACACTTTCTCCAAATTGAATTTCACAATCTTCCCCTTCTAAAATATAGAAAAGTTATTAGACAACTTGGTTCTCAAAATAGTTTATTGTGTTAAATTTTGCGTATGCACGCGCGCGAGCGCGTACCAACCAAAAATATTAGGAATCTTATTAACTGATTATTTAATGTTATGTTTATTTTAGATAAAAAAGTAATTCATTTGTTGTGAAGTACCCTTGATGTATCCTTTATTTCACGAACCTGTTTAAATTAGCGTATAATGTCGAAAAATAGTAAGAAACAATGAGGTAAAAGAAATTCAGATAAATAAAAAACAGGTGCCTAATATTTTTCGCTAAGGCTGTATCTATATTTATCTTCATCATCTTACCGACAAATAAGATAATAGCTGGAGCATCGTGTAACGATGTGGCATACTTTTCTGTTAGAATATTTACTAGTCTACTGCTCCAAGGAAAATTCTGAAATTTAAATTTATAATAATTTATTCTGTAATAGTAAAAACTTAAAAAGAGGAAAGTTTATAAACAACATTTGTAATAATCTTGACAATAGAATTTTAATTTTTCTCATTTTTTATTTGCGATAAAATTAGATTTGAGAATTTTTGTCAAATTACCAATCCCTCTGGATCCTCAATCAATTCGGCGCGTCCATCCAGAGTAATTATATTGTCGCGAGGATCCAGAATGACTAAAGTAGGTATTGCTTGAACGTCGAAAGCTCTTGCCAACTTTCGACGTCTTTCTTCGTGATTAAAAGGTATCCTCAACCAAGGCATTGTTTCCGTGTACGTATTGTACGAATCCTCGCTCCTAGAATAAATATTACCTTTACAAAAAATGAACGCGAGGAAAAAAAGAAGATAACGGATGTGATAATAAATTCATAGAAAAGGTATCCATCAAGGTATCCAAATGAGAGGATACCGAGTCGTCTTTAAATCGTCGCATTTCATTCCGACGAAATATCTCTGAATGAAATGCGACGATTTAAAGACTAGCACTTATATTATGAAAGCCTACCTGTCCGAACTCACGAAAATTACTTCAAAATCATGACCTCTCTCCTGAATTCGTTGATACGTATCCACGAGTTGTGGGGTGAATGCTTTACAAGGTGGACACTAAATTAAAAGAACGTAACGTATTAATAATTGATTCAAGTACATAACATAAGCATTTGTAATCAGAAATACATAAAAATTAATAATAAAGGTCTCAAATATAACTCAGATTGGATAAAAAGCATCTTAGAATAGATTCTATGTTCTTCTGTAAAGAATGTAGGATCATTATAATAGTCAATCAAGATAATTAACATTAGTATTCAGTTTCATAAGAATTGGTCAATTATAAATTATTTGCTTCAGATTATATTTCTCTTGAAACAGATATTCAATTACATTACAAGGTATTCAATTAAAATTGTCGCGGAAAGCAATGAAATTTCTAACATTCACTTGAGCATTTGTGACTCACCCAATGTGCACTGAAGTAAATTCCCTTAAAACAGTGGCGGAGTTCCTCGTGCAACATAGGCTCGTTACTGTCGCGGGCGCCGCACGACAGAAGAGGTCCATCCTCGAGAGCGGCTTTCGGATGCGGAGGCCTCCAAGGGAAGTCTGCGCCGGTGGGATCGGCGATAGTTCGCTCAACTCCTCCTCGTGTCACGACTAATCCGTTGGATGCCTCCAGTAAAATCAACGTCGGCACGCCCGCTTTTATCCGATACCTTCGAGTCAGTCTGGTCTGAAAACATTAATACATTACGAATGACATTCCTGATGGCATCGATAAAAATATAATACCGAATATTGTTTAATACATACGACGGTGTATATGTAGGTATAATTATAGTGTGCTGTAGGAAGGAAAGGAGACAATGGTCTCACTCAACAGCACCAATAAACAAGACATGCTAAAAGCATATTTCTCCAGAGAGTTACTGCTGTAATAGCGCAAACAGCTGCAAATTGCGGAAACAACTCGGAATTGCGTTAACGATGCAAGCGATATTATAATTGATACTGATGACATTACTCGAGGATAATAATAAGGATAATGGAATAAAAGCACATGGAAGGCAGTTAGCGAAAATAAGTACATATGTAGATCGGTTTCGTCGTATCATATGTATTGATTTCATTTCTCTCAGCAATTCGCTAAATAACAAACAGATTTTCCATTATCTTTTTTTTATATTATTATATTGTAATATTTTACGATAATATGTTCGCAATCTCGCAACGGTATATTACATGTTTTTTCAAAAATTATTTTGCATTTGCAATGCAAATAAAAATTTTGAACTTTTTATACTACGCACACAAGATTGATTTGTTATCTATATTGATCATTAATTGACTTTTTCAGCTTTCAACAGCTTTCTCTTGGTATGATTTTTATACCAAAAATATATATAGAAAAAATATATCATAATTAAAATAAGATATATATGAATAATTTTTGCACTATTGTCCATTTCTATCAATGTAAACAACTTTAATCTTGATTTAATTTACTTTTTATCTACTTTATTTTTCTAGTGTTAAGAATTAAAAAAAGATTAAACCGAGATTAAAGTTAATCTATAGTGGTAAAAATAAATATATTACAAAATTTTGCGCGATTTGGATCAAATTCCGATTAATTTAACTCGATCTGTACTCTTTTGTTAATATGGATAGAATAATCAATTTTTTGTTGCTTAATACATGCATAGATAAAAAGATATATAATATTAGAAACATTGGATTAAATAATTTGCTTTAAGCAATTCTGTCGATTAAAATTAATTTTCGAAATTAATTAAGTTAATCAGAATTTGGTATTTAATGCATGAATTTGTCTACGTACGGATATATTCAAAGCGTATTTTCATCTAAATAGGTGTAGGTTCATCTTTACTGTTAATTATTCGTTGTTTATAATCTAATTTAATTTTTCCCTTTTCGTTTTGTTAAATATTAAACAATAAAAAATTAGTCCATATGTTAAACTTGTACAGATATTACTTGATAAGATAATTAACTGATTAAGGCTCGGCTGCACCAATATTATTTTTGACTTTAAGCAAGACTTAAAACTATCTGTCTTTCTTTAAAACCTTGAGAGAGAGAGAGTGTGTATGTGTTTTAACTGTTTTAAGCGGCACTTAAAGTCAACATAAAAGTCCAAACTCATGCGCGTCACGCGTCATTTGAGAAATAACTATAAGATTATACCTATTATAAGATCATACCAAGGCAGAAATGATCAGTTTATGAACCGATCATTTCTGTCTGGGCAGTAACTTTTAGCAACTGTCGCGTTTGACGCGTTTACAGTTGAATTTATTTAACTGCGAAAGCGTCATCGCATTTGTCGCCAGTATTTAAAGGTTCGTGTGCAAGTGATCGAGGACCTGAGCCCACAAAGATTAACTGTTTTCACAAAAAAAGATTGTTATAAATTATGATGTGTGATGCGCGCGTCTATTAATGACGCGCATATGAGTTTAGATTTGGTGCAATCGGACCTAAGTTGATCGGAGTTCAGTCGAAATCATATTTAATGCATAAATTTTTCTGTATCGGGACATATTCAATGTGTATGTTTCCATCTATAATAAATTTTAAATATTCGCGCATCAATATAATTATTCATTCGCGATGTTAATTATTCATTGTTCATAATCATTTGCTTTTCGTTTTGTTAAATGTTAATCAATAAAAAAATTATGAATCCATGTTAACATAATATAGGTATTACTTGATAAATTAATTAACTGATTATGTTAATCGGAGTTCGGTCAAAAAGTCATTCGAAGGCATTTATAATACATCTTATGGATGTCCTGATCAACATCTTAGAATCTTCTTGCTTTTATCCTCGCATTATTTTCCAAGTGCTTAGTTATTTTTAAAAAATCTTATTAATTTAAATATACATTTCACTTTTTTCTCCAGTTTATCGCAGTGAAAAATAGAATATTATATAATTTCATCTTTTTGTATCAGAATGTATTTTTATGTCTTATAGATATAGTATTTAATAGAATACAAACGCGTATTCTTCAAAACGCAACATGTCTTAGAAATACATCCCTAGTTTCTCCGTCGACGAAACTCGCTGACGCAGCTGCTCGTCATAACCGTCGATCGGCCATAATTCCAGCAAGAGGAAAATCCGCGCACGCGCGCACACACGTCCGTACGGAGTCTAAACCTTCCAATCTACCTCCAAAACTGCATTAAGTTGGCCGACCCTCTTCTGGGACATTTGGAGTCCCTCGTCCCCGATATCTCGAGGGAAGATCGGTCGGGATTTCTCGTGTCGCGCGGGATGCCCTGTTACGAGTTACGGTCGCGTATAAAGGGTGAAAGGAGGGGAGACATGGAGAGGGTGAGATAGAAGAGGCGTAAGGCAAGAGAGAAGGGTCTCGTAAGTAGCGAACACGATGGATCGCGGTGTACGTTATCACGAGTATAATACTTTTACCGGGTGGGAAAGAGAGGGAGAGAGAAAAGGGAAAAAGAGGAAGGAGAAAGAGAGAGAGAGAGAGGAAGAAGGGGAGGGGAAGGGAAGGATGCGAAAGGGAAGCAGGACGGCGCGGAGGCGCGTCCCTTCATATATTTCCCGCTCCCACGTCACGTGGTGGTGCTTTCGCGCTCGCCCTCGCTCGGAGTCTCTCGAGCGGTCGATAACGCGTGCGTCCTCCCTTGCCCGCGTTGCTACCGTTCAGCGAACGACGCTGCTATCATTATTTTCCTCTCGCTCAGCTCTGTACACCGGGCACTGTTATTATAAACACTCGCCCGTTTTTAAACGAACAATCGCCGCTTGTCTCGATATTCAACGATATCGCTCGAGATCGAAAGTTTACTCCGAATTCATTCAAAGATTTTTTAATGGAAAAGTCGCGATTATTAGCCCTACGTTTCATTTGATAATTTATTTGAACGTGGAACGTTTGCTTATTTCTTACATTTAACATCTTTAAAACCTCGGCGGAGTAATTACTTTTCCCGTTTTGCTTAATTCACAATTATCTGAACGTGTTGTATAACATACATGTATATATGCGGGAACGTAAGCATCTTATGCATGAATTCGCCTTTAGAGCATTTTCAGGCGCGTACTTCGTGTCTTAAATGACTGTTAGTTATACTGCAGTAATAATAAATTGTATCTACCAAAAAACCGGGGAGATTGAAGTTACACACTTCGTAATATACTGTCTTGCGAACTTACATACCTCTAATTTGAAGACTTGCTTAGACTCCCTTAATCTAGTTCATATAATGCGATAAGTAGTACTTATATTTTTATATTATCTGACTGTTTAGATGACCGCATGTGTTTGTATATAAAATTTATAGAGTTAGACCATTAAGATGACCGAATATTGTTTTTAATTTATGTATTATTAATTTTGTGCTTAACATTGAGAATTATCCTATTTAGATCGAAACGTCTGTTTACTAAATTTTAATTAAAGATTTACATTTATTTGGAGCATAAAATCTTGCTTTGGCTCATAGTCCTTAATTTTTTATTAATTTTATTATTTATTGAGCTGAAAATTTTAATTTAATAATAAATTTTTTATATATGATTATATATACATAAAAATAATATATATTATAAAACAATACATATGTTATTATAAAAAATTCATTATTATTAAATTATTATCGAATAAACAACCGCAACTTTTTAGATATGAAGCATGTGCCAGAAATACAGTCCAATATGCGATCAAATTCACATGTATCAAGGCATTTATGACCCTATAAATTATGGCCTCAGTGTATACATCTAATATAACGGGCGAGCGAGCATTTATGATATCCAGTGTACATTCCCTACTGTTGTGACATCGCGCTCTACGTGCTTCGTCTGGTGTTTCTCTTTTTTCTCTCTCCCTCCTTCCGTCCCACTCTCTCCTTCTCTCTTTCTCTTTTTAACTCTCTTGTCTATTTCGCATTTCTCTCATCGTAGAGGCCTTTCCCTCTCGTTCGTTACAAAATCGCCCTGGTCGCCAGTGGAAGCGAGCTAAAAAAGAACCAAGGAAGGAGAGACGGGGGAGAGAAAGAGAGACGAGACAGAGATCACTTTTGACTGGTTCGCAGTTTCGCACGCGTTCAATCGTCTCCCCCTCACCCCCTTTTGTGTATACAGAGACCGCAGTCTAGTCCGACGCCTCTGCCGTGCACGCTCAACTGCAGCCGTCGCGACGACAGCACCGCGCGCTCTCTCCCTTCGGACACCCTCTCGATTATCCACGGGCGCTGCTCATAAGCAATGTCCGTGGAGATAAGCGAATGTCGCATGTAGGCGGCTCGTTACGGTCGGCGTGGGATTTACCACTTTTTGCAGGCCGGTGCTACAACAAGATCCTTCTGCGGACCCTCCTACTGCGGAACGATAATAAATCTGAGATGACAAAAAAAAGAAAAGGAAATTTATATTCCGGTGATTGATATCGATAAGCGAATCGCGAACAACGAACGAAGTAATCAACGACGCGTCGGAATTTCGTGTGACGTTTGTAACCGACGACATATTAAGGGGGCAAAATACTTTAAAATAAAGATTTTTTTAGTTTGGATTGCGGGAAAAATATAAATACGATTCACTTGTAATTTGACACTTTATTGATACATATAATAAACTTGTTATGTTTCAAATTTTATTGAAAAATATTAATCTCTCGAGGAAATATAGCAATCCATGTAAAACATATTCAAAAAGCGGTGCAATATATG